AGGCATGGCTCGTAGACCGAATTAAGCCATTTTTGGCCATTAACATGGCAAAGAAGTTGCCACTTATTATTAAGCCAGCTATATGGCTACGTGCTGGGAGTCATTTCCAGCTGAAGTTGCTTAGCCAACTTTACGGCCAATCTATATATCATAAATAAAAGCCATCCCCACGGGCTGGGCTACAGTTACTCTTGGCCAGGACACTAAACAATGTGAAAATTATACAACAAATGGCCATTATAGGGCCAATGGTTGGCTGGGGCGACGCCTCGACGCCTTCTCGCGACACAGCCGAAGCGTGCAGGCAGGAGGCAGTAGAGAGCTCCACAGCTCAACTCAGCTCAGCTCAGCCAGTCGTGGGCAATAAATGAGTTTAAACTAGAAAATTTATTATACGCGGCGAAACTACTTAAGTGAACGGCAGAAAAAAATAAAGCAAGCAAAGAAAAGAAAATGTATAAGAAAAGAAAAAAAAAGCACCAAGCAAGTCAGCTAGTCAGGCAGGACACGCAAAGGCAACGTCCTGACATTGTGGCATCCCGAGGTTCGCGACTTCGCGACTTTGCGTCTCCCTCAGCGCCACATGCTTAGGCCAATATAATCACATGGAGCGACAGCAAGGGCTGAGAGGCACAGTTTCGATGGGCCGGCGGGTGGAGGGACTGAGGCTAGGTGGGCGGTAGGCGGTAGGCGTCCTGCTGCTTGAGTAATTCAATAAAATAACCAATTTGTTGAAAAATAACAACAAGCGGCGGCGGCTGCGACGTGGGCAACAACGCACAAAAGTCAGCCAAGCCAACTTGTCACAGCCAACGAAGGAGCAGCAGGAACAGGAGAAGGCAACAAGGATGAGGCTGCAATCTGAGAATAGCTGCGACAGCAGCCACGTACCAAACACTAGAGCAAAATATTTTTTATTTATACCTAGCACACACACCACACACACACTCACACACACACACACACATACTCACACACTCTTGTGGACATGTACTATATTGTATAGCCATATTTACTAGAGGGTCGACCTGCTGCTACATTGTCGCTGCCAAGCTGCCAGGCTGCCAGGCTGTGCCACAGTGGAGCACACACTCACATATGTGCATAGAAAGTGTCACAATTGTGTTTATGCAAATTGAGCATGTTTATGCATGCATGCATGAGCTGCTAGACTGCCAGGCAGCAGGCCAACAGCGATTTGTGTGCACTCGGTTGGCCGATTTGCGCCACTGTGCCATAAAATGTGGCAGGTTAACTCCATTGACTTGTGAAAAATTGAAAATAAAAATTTTCCGCGACATTATTAAAGTAAACATTGGCGCAAAAGGGTGTGATTATGACGAGCCAAGGAGCTGTGGCAGCTGCCAGCCAGATAGGGGAGAAAGGGGGAGGGCAGTAGTTGAAGGACGGGCAGAGGTGGTTAGCTTCGCTTCGCTTTGCTTGTTGTTGCTGCTGTTGTTGTTGCTGCCACCATGGCAAGCTTCCAATTGTGGTGGCTGTTTATGGCGTTTGCCATGTGTCTGTAAATTGACGTCAGCGTAGCGGCGGCTCTTGTTGCTTTTGTCGTTGTTCTTGGTTGGCTGCTGCTGCTGCTCCCGCCGCTCCTGCTGCTGCCTCTACTCCTGCTGCTGCTGCTGCGCCATTTGGCATTTCGCGTTTTGTAAAGTTCGGGACTCCCAGTGGCGCAATCAGCGCCAAACGAAGCCAACCATGGGTCTGGGCCGGGGCTGTGTGGGATGTGTGCAGGTCCTTTTGGAGGGCCACAAAGCACGCTATTTTATACGGGAGCACACATATGAGCGCATGAGGGTGGGCGTGTGGGTGGGTTCTTTTGGTTTGCATGGCAGCCCTATGATAACAAGGCTGCTGATGACTTCCGTGTGCTAACTTGGCGCTGCTACGGCTCCTGCTCCTGCTGCTGCTGCTGCTGCTGTCGGCTGACTTGGCTCCAGCTGTTACGCCGGCTCAGTGACTGATTTTATTAGCAGCGTGCACAAAGCCAAATCAAAAATTGAAAATAAGGTTAAGTAGCTATTACCCGGAATAATGCTGAGCCAGCGTGCGGCATGCCAACGTGGGCGTGGCAAATGGCAATTTAATAAACGCACAACGATGCCGCCCCTTTTTCTCTATGCGGCCATTCGCTTCTTTTTTAGCTGGTGTAATTACCTTGGAAATTCCATTAGAATTTCACGGCGCATTAGAGGCCAGAAGCAGCCAGGCAGCTTGGCGTGTTAATTCTGTTGGGCCACTTAAAGGCCGATGCGTAAACCCAATTGGATGGGCCGGCCTTACGGGCGTTAAAACTTTCCAAAAGTTTTGCATACTTTTTGGGGCTGGCAGGCATTCGACTGTGGGGCCAATACCATTTGTCTGCGCTGCTCAAGCACAAAATTGGGGAGCAGCAAAGAGAGAAGAGAAGAGAGGTGATAAGAGAGAAGAGAGAGAGAGGAGCAGGCAAGCAGGCAGGCAGCCAGGCAAGACTTGGCAATCAATCAATTGGGCCAACGTCAGGTTTTTGGCTACAGCTAATTGGAACAGTTGGCAAAGGGACGCGAAAGAGAGATAGAGAGAGAGACAGAGAGAGGAAGAGAGACAGCTTCAGGCAGTCGAGTATGACATAGGTGAATGTGTGTGGCATGGGCCAAAAGTTGCAACAATTAACCGGACAGGAGGCAGCCAGCTCTTAATATGTGAGAGAGCTAGTTAGTGTGTGTGTGTGACAGCATGCGCCACATATACACACACATACACTATAAAGTCAGCGAGTGAATTTTTCATGGCTAATTGAGTGGCAACTTGGGCGCAATTTGCTGGCGCGCACATAAATAATTGATAATTAAGTAGATGCAGTGCAGCACAGCACCTGCAACACACTCACACACACACACACGCACACATGTATAGAGTCTGTTGCAGGCGCGCATAAAATATGGCAATGCAGTTGCCTGGACACGAATGCGCGTGGCAAGAAATTTATACGGCCGTATTGTTGCTGGGCTTCGTCATGCATATGAAGCTGCTGGCACTTGAAACTAGCACACACACACACACACACATACAGACACCCATTTGGATAGATATACGCCCACACATATAGTACTCATCAACTGTAATGAGATGGTAATGTTAATGAAATTTGTTGCTTGCTTTGGCAAAGTTTTCCAGGCAAGCCCAGGCGAATGCTGGGCTGAGCTGCCTGAAGTCAAGAGCTCTAATGAAGTCATTGATAAGCGCACACGCACACACACATGCATACATACACTCAAAGAGAAACGAAACACATACAAGCGCACACTGATTAGCTTTTGAAGCAGCCAGAATTGTTGTTGCATATTCGGCTGCAGCGCGTAGACAATAGCTGACTGACAGACAGACAGTGCGCGAAGAAGGAGGCAGGAGAGTGGCGAGGGCGGGTCGAGAACGGGACGAGGGCAGCGACATTGCGAGTGACTGAATGAGCTTTGGCTTGACTCTTGCTATTTGTACTTGAAATCTCATTAGAGTTGAAGCACTTTGCCTGACAGCAGCAGAGGCATTCTTGAAGCTAGTTTGCCATAACGACGAAAATTTAATTATATAACACAAAGCAAGCCAAGGCAAATTAGAGTGAGTGAGAGGCAGAGAGTGAGAGAGAACGGGAGAGAGAACATATCAACAAAAGCCAGCAGCAAATTGAAATATTTTTTCGCCTTTTGACTTGTGACTTGACTTTGCCGCCCTCACACTGAGGTCAGCATGGCAGCTTTTAGCTTCTCTAGTGCCATATAACCGCAATTTGCACACATGCCCTTAATTTGCCCATGTTCAAGTGGAAAGTGTGAAAATAAATGGAGGAAAAAAAATATGAAGCAGCGCAAGGAAAACGAAGAAAATAAAATTAAAATGAAATAAAATGTTATTGAAAAGTTGCTATGGCCACGTCATGGCAGCACCACTCCAAGCACACACAATTTCCATGCGGCCATCCAGTCATCCAGCTATCCAGCTGGTTATATAATTGCGGTTTCGCAGGAGGTTGCAACCTGCGGTCATTGCGGCCAGCAGGATACACAAAGCATGCCTCGACTAAGGAATTACTTTTCCTGCCTGTCAGGCAAGAGCAACACGAGCAACAACAACAGCATCAGCCGAGGCAGTAGCAGGAGCCGGATGGAGGCACTAGTCCGGCCGTAATTGGAATAATAGTAAAAAGCGAAGCTTACATGCTCCGAACAATGGGATTACAAAATAGTTAAAGCTTTGCCTTACTCCAGCTGCTGCCAAAAACAGATTGCACAATGCAAAATGTTTAAGTAATAGAGAAATATAATGAGAGTCGAGCTGAGCTCAACTGAGCTGAGCCGAGCTGATCTGGAGCCCCAAGAAATGCAAGAGTGTGTGGCATTCAAAGTGCTGACTAAGCGGTGCGACAGGGAACAGGTGCAGAGCTGGGAATGTGCAACAGAATGAAAAAGAGAAAGGGAGAGAGAGAGAGAGAGAGAGAAGCAGAGAGACAGACATGACGCTAGTGGCTTCCGCTTGACTGGGAAGCTGCAGGCGTAGCCCACTCGACCACAAAAGCATAAGTTGCCAATTAAACTCGAACGCTTTGCTTGCTCCACTACTCCGGCAGCAGGGCGTGGCCAGAGGCAGCCGTCGAGAGGGGGCTGGGGCATTAATTTCATAACCTGCCTTTTTATGGCCAGCTGCCCAAATTGGGTCAACATTGACAATAGCCAAAAGAACGAAAGATGTGCCAGCCACTAGAGCTGCAGGCAGCTGAGATAGATGCCAGCGCTGGGCTGCACAGCACGCTGGCATCCTGCCTACCGTCTCCTGTCGCCTGCCCCCTGCCACTTGGCACTCGAGCTACGCCATTCACAATTCATTTCTGGTGTCGGTTACGCTGGCACTTCCGTTTGCAGTTACTTTTGGCGTAATAATTGCATCGTTGCCTTTTGCAATTATGCAAATTTGCTGGAGCTAATTGTCTATGGTTCCTCTTTGATGGCACTTACTTGATCCGATTGTACACCAGCAGCTCGGCAATGTCACGGCCCAGGCCCGAGTACGTTGTCTCCACAAACACCAGCACCTTGGGATCGATGCGCAGACGTGCCTCCGAACGGTGATCGGGCGCCGGCGAGGCGTCACGTATGTGCTTGCCCGCCGAGTTAATCATGCGGCAGTTGATAATGGGCGCCGGATGTGTATCTCGCTGGATGAGACTGCAACAGAGAGAGGGAGAAAACATTGTTAATGTATATGTATGTACATGTTATATATGTATTTATGCATTTGCTTGATGCGCACACAAAGAAGTTGCCTCAAAAGAAAAACGAAGCACGAAACACACAAGAAATTGGTTGCACGCATAATGTGTGCCGCAAGTTTCCTGCAGCCGCGACAACGTTACGTATGCGCAATATGCAAACTGCGACAAAGAAACAATAGCAGCTGCTGCTGCCAATACAACAAGCCAAAGGAATCCCCCGCCTTGCTCCTCCTACTAGTATATCTTTGCATTTGCATTGCTCCCCACTGTAGCTCCCAATGGAGCTCATTAACCAGCTGAGCTGTCTTCAAAGGCAAGCAAACAGCTTGCTGCTTGCTCGCTCTGTGCTCGGCTTTAATCATTCATTTGCAACTTTAGCAATTCGGTTCGAGTTTTGTGTGACAACAAAACTTTGTAGGTATTTGATAATTTCCTAACTACCTCGAACTCGGACTCCAACTCTGGCTGCACCTTTGAACTGCTGCAACTTTTCCTCTCTCTCTCTCTCTCTCTCGCACACACATTTGTAATCCATTTGGCAAAGCATTTTGTTATACGGGAGAGTCTTATGCAATTTTCACATATCCGGCGAGCGGGCTGCAACAGTTTCGCAACGGACACCGCTTAGTCAAAGCGGCAACATGTGTTAGAAGTCTTTGAGCCCATTTCGTGCAAAATCCCAAAAAATTAACAACAAAAAAAAAAAGGAAAGAGGAAAAAAAACCCTATTAGGCCAAGCCCCAAATGGCATGCAAAGGCTTTTGGCCAAGCATCCTTTTACGGCCAGAAGAGGCGTGCCTGCCTGCCAGTTGGAGCAATGAAAAATGTAAATACTTTTAGCATGTGGAAGGACAAAACGAGCCGGCCAACAAGCAGTCTGGCCCCAATGCAGGACCTCAACTGCCGAGCTAGACAAAACTTTGGCTCTGGCAAAACAAAATATTTAGATAGCAAATACACACGCTCAAACACACACAGACACCCAAATACATATATGTATACATATTTTTAGAGCCGCCCCCAAAAATGTCAGAGTGCGAGAAAGTTTTCTTTTCAAATACCCTGTAATCTTACCTAGCACAATTGAGCAGCAACATCAGATACATTTGCGAAACTATAAATCAAGCATAACATTTGGCAACTGCCCCAGGGGGAATTTGACTTTATAAAATGTCTGATATAATAAAGTTTGCCATGGAGCATGTAAAGTGTCTTTTGTGCTTGCTTGAACTTTGTGCACTTCATCATTTTGGCCAAAATCAAATGCCAAATAAATAGCTGAGCAGCTTAGACTGTTTGGCAGCATTACAAATGTTTAGCTGCATAGCTCTAACTGCATTTTACTACACTTAAGCTGCAAATTAGTGGCGTAATAAGCTTTCAGCTGCTTTAAAGCTGAAAGTTGATGCAATGTGCATTTTAAGCTCCTTATAAGTGAAATCTTATATTTAAAGCTCAGCTGAATATAAAATATATCTATTTAAAAGCAGATATGGTATTTCATTTATTCGATTCAATTTAACTATAGCAGAGCAATCCATATGCAAGCAGAAGGTGGAAAGAAAATAATATATATTTAAACTGAAGCTTTTCCTTTTTAAGCGCCTTTTGGCTGTGGGTTCCTTGGTGCACGACGACGATGACGACGACTATGCTGATGATGATGTTGAAGAAATTCTTGTTGCACTGCCTTGTTTGCATTTCGTGCAACATTTGCGTGGCATGCCAGCAGGCGAGTCGAGCCAGGCAGCCGTTCATCCAGCCAGCCAGCCAGCCAGCCAGCCAGCCAGCCAGCCAGCCAGCCAGCCAGCCAGCGAGGCAAAGCGGCCAAAACAGAGTCAGCTCAACCTGGCCTGTTTTCAGACGCTGTTCGCTGATTTATTTGTGCACAGCACAAAATTTCCGTTTCCGTTTCAATGTTTTGGCCGTGTGCAGCAGCAGCAGCAGGAGAAGGAGGAGGAAGCGTGGCAGAGTTTGGTGTTTGCCGAATGTGGAGCAAGTTTCGTCTTTTGTGTTGCATAAATTAGGCAACAAAAAGTCAGTTGATGCATTTGCGACGTGTTATTTATGCGGGCGTGCAACAAACTTGGCAGCACGGCCCGGCCAGCGACACGCAAATGCTGCACTGTCAACGTGCTGGCGTAACACGCGGCAGCAATCAGCGTGGCCAAAGCTTATTAGTCAATTCGAAGACACCAGGCGGGCAGCTTTTATTGAATTGCTTGAGCACATAAACTCACACACACGCACACTCACACTCATTTCATGGGTAGCCACAATTCAGCAACATTTTTTATGCGGGCAGCTTAAAGGCCACAGCCAGAGCCGTAGCCATAGCCACGCCTCGAGCATAATAGAAAACCGCCCAACAGCCATCGCCGTTGCCGTTGCCATTGCATTCCAGCGAGAAAGGGCGGCACGCTCAAACAATAAATCGTATGTAAAAATTTGTAATAAATTTGCAAAGTAGCAAATGCAGCAGCCGCAAAGTGCGACGCGGCCAACAGAGCGCATACGTAATGCAGCTGGGATAACGTGGCATAATAAAATGGGGGGAAACTAGCGCAAGGATATGGATGTGTGCGCCAAAGCTATCACAGCGCACGCTCCTCTCCACGCCCACATCTGTAGTATGAGAAAAAAAGAATTACTAAAATATACAAGGGGAGCAAAAGGCAGCGTGGCAGCAAATGCAAAAATGTGCGAAAAGGAATGCCAAAAGACAAAGCGGACATTTGTATAAATTGAGAAGCGCAGAGAGAGGCGACGTTTCAATAAGCGTTACGCTTCAAGCTGGATAACAAATGATGCTGAGCAAGGGATGATGTCAAGAGATTATTTGAAATATGCTTACTAATTTTTCAGATATATCTATGAATGCATATATATTATATAGATATATTATATAGATGGCTGAGTGAAATCAAAAATTGATATTATGTACCATGTACTTTTGCCGTTTAAATGTGGAATAAGATGAATGCCAATCATGTAGTAAGGCACTGCTCAATCGCATAAATTTTACTTCAATATGGTAAGCTCTCAACCCCTCTCTCCTTTTCTCTGTCTCTCTCGCTCTCTCTTCACTCTGTTGGATAAAAGAAAAACTGCAGCCACTTAAACACAATGGAAATCAGAAAGAAAAGCCGGCACAGTGCGAGCAATTGAAAAAGCACCCAAACGAGCCAACAACAACAGCAACAACAACAACAACAAAAGACGAGCATTTGCGGTGCAGACACTGCCAATTTTATTGGCATTCGCCAGCGAACGAAAAAGTGAAAAAAGTTAATTAAATAAATCAAGCAAGCCAAGTTCAATTCGATTGCAGCGGGAAATGAGTGGGAAAATGCCAGCAGCGGCCGTTGGCAAGTTGGTTGGCTCATTGGCTCGGTGGTGCGGTGGTGCGGTGGTGCGGTGGTGCGGTGGCAGCGCACAGTTGGCCAAATGAACTGTAAGCGTCTCTGGGCTCTGGACAAAAATGGCGTCGGCCAGGCACGGATATGCAAAAACGGCTAAAGCAGAAGGACACTGCGAACGCCATGGCGACCTGCCTCTGTTTGTTTGCTTGTTTGTTTGTTTGTTGGCAGCAATTGCATTTAAGGCAAATAAACGTAATTATTTATTGCATTTCGCCGACAGTTGACACGCGGCTGAACCACTGAACCAGCACTTCGACTCTGGTTTAATGAAAGTCATCCCCAAGCGAAGGCTAATGGGTGCAGTTGCTGTAGCCGCTGCTGCTGCTGCTGCTGCTGCTGCTGCTGCTGCTGCTGCTGTTGTCAGTGACTGCACCTGGCATATGTAATTACTTTTTCACTATACAAAAACAGAGAAACACACACACACACACACACACACACACACAAGTATAACCGCTTTGCGGCAATTGTCATTTATAATCGCATTTTCAATTAAAATGTTTAGTCAATTAATGCACGCAATATGATTTCCATGACGTATACGTCATGTTGTACACAAACACACACACATACGCATACATACGCACTGCTGTCGTGTTAAATATTTGCAGAACTCACCAAACGGGCGGCGTGTGTGATTTATGTGTTTATTATCAGGAGGCAGACGCGCATTTAGTGTTGCAGTTAGTTAATGTTTAAAGCTCTGCGACACGCCCCCTTGAAGCTTCATTTACACGCTGCCAGGCTCGAACATCAAATCGTATTTATCGCACTTAACACGCAAAGCAAATAATGCATTCAACTTTATATATATAGCCAAGCCATCTGATTAAATGCCCAGCAGCGAACAGGCGACAAAACAAAAGGAAATGTGTTTGCCAATATATACTAGAGAAATTTCAATGAGAACCAGCTTGCCCCGAAAGGGCCATAAATTGTTGGCAAAGTTTTCCATAAGCGAACCAAAAATAACTTTTACCATAAGCAAATCGCCATAAATAATCATTTCAAAGGAATTTGTAGTTCAATTTCAATCATTTTTTTGGCAATTTCCATTGAGCTTAAATTAAAAATTCTTTTTATATGCATATTGAATTACATTTCTTGATCTATGACATATCTTTTGCTTCTCATGCATGTGAAATTGGGAATTTCTATACAAAAAATTGCAACTCTGCTGACATTTCATCTATTGCAAGTGAGATAAATCGTAACGTTTTTGACATTTTTGTCGTGTGTTTTGCATGTTTAGCATTACAAATCAATTATTGCAGCCTGTAAGGCGACTGTGTGTATGTGTGTGTGTGTGTGTGTGTGTTGGTGTTATGACTGCATGCAAATCACGTAGGTTTGCATTTTGGCAAAATGCATTTTGCACCTACAGCGCCAGCTGCAACAGCAACAAAAACAATGCACTTGCTGCATATGCAAATACATGAGTGTGCATGAGTGTGCATGTGTGTGTGCGTGTGTGCGCAAATAATGACAGACAGCATAAACAAACACGCACATCAGTAACTGGCGGCTGCCTGTCGCCGGGGCCAACCACACAGCGGGACAGGTGGGTGGCAGACGGGAGGGGGGGGAGCATTGGCAGCGGCTGCCACATCGCATGTTTCCGCTTTTTGCACGTAACGGACGCATGGACATGCACATGGACATGGACACGAAACAGGACATACAGGATATACGCACAAGGCAAACGCACACACACAGGCTCAAAAGCATTTGAATTTATTAAAATTTACCAGATTTGATGCACAACTTGCACAAGCTCAGGCAATCCTTTCAGCCTTAAGCCTCTCGCTCTAATTGCCACAGTCCTTGTGCAGCTGTTGCTCAGCTCGTGCGTATCCCTCTCTCTCTCTCTCTCTCGCTCACACATGCGCTTGAATGACTAATGAACTTTGCCGCAGTTAAGATCGTAAATTAAATTTAAAGTGCACTAGCCAAGTAAATATTTAATAATCAACTTTTGGCTTTGGGCGAAATAAATAAGTTTGTGAATCAAGCAGCGCAGAGTTAGCAATGCAAAAATATTTTAGTAAAAACCAACTCAAGGACTTGGATGCACCTGCAGTAGCTGCTGCTGCTGCTGCTGCTGCTACTCCTGCTGCTGCTGCTCCTCCTGCTACTGATGAAAGTAATCAAAAGTTTGCCCGTTGTTTGTTATGCAACTGCAGGCGTGTTGCACTCTGCTGTTAGTCAAGAGCTGCGGGGCTGCCATTCTTTCCTCTAGCCATAAAATGTTTGTTAACCATAATTGCGCGCTAAAGTAGCTAACGGCGAGGTGCCACGCCCACGATGATGCCGACGCCGACGCTCAGCTGTGCGAAAAATTTCCACAAATTAAAATACAAAACAAGTGCCAGGCCACAAAGAAAAGCGAAATCCAGAGCGAGAAAATAAGCACAGCGCTGCCTTTTTCACACAGTCTTTTCACTGTTTTCAATTTATGTGAAATACGAGCATTTTCATCCAGTATACCCCAAATAAATACGTGACGGCAAACAGCTCCAACTTTAAGCAAGTTCTGCGCGTACTGAGTTAACCAAAGGTGTAAGCTCCAGTCGCATGTCGAATGTGGAGTGTGTGGAGTGTGGAGTGCTTGGGCGGGGTCAAACTTTGAAAACAAGTCACATAAAAATCGTTGATGATTCCGTAGAAGCAACAAAATGGGGAAAAAAACAACTAGTTAAAAGTTTTAACAGTGCTGAGAATAAAACACGCAAGGGTAGCTGAAAACCTTAAGAACTTTTATCTAGCTAAAGCACAAAAAACACACGTGAAACACTTTGAAAGCTCCACTCGACAAATAAGCAATCGAGCGGTGTGAGAAGCGCCGAGAGGGCTGCACTCAGACTGTTCGCGATTGACCCAGCTAATACTACAAATTGTTGACACTCGCTGGCAAACAGAGACCATTTGAATAAGTCTAAGCTCAATGTAAACAATTTCAGCTGCTTGAAATATGGGGTGTCTGAGCAAACATCGATGGAAATAAAATAAAAGAAAATAAAGTATGAAGAGCTTTGCTTTATTGCCATCATAATAAAAAAATATATAGCTCACTTGCATTCGAGCTAGTCAAAATTGTTGAGCTTAACAGAAATGAGAAGCAGCTGCAGCAACAAAATCTACTTCTTCTTCTTCTTGTTTATATACTACTATCCCTTATTTGTTAGCCAGCAAAATTGGAACAATACAAATGAAATATATATATATATATTAGAGCAGGCTTCAGATGCATTTTAAAGCACCTTTGTTTCAGCATTGCATTCACAAACAATATTTGCATGAATTCTTGGATTTGTTTTGCTCTTTTTTTGTGCCTCATTGTCGAGCTGCAACAATGCGGCAATGAATGGAATGAACTGAAAATAAACAGCCACACAATGAACTTGAAATACTCCACAGAGCGAAAGGAGGAGCGAGCACCTGTTAATTAACTGCCTTGCAAAGAATTCCCTTAGCTAAAATGAAATACAATCATGAAAATTTATTCAGAGCCACAGCTCCCATTCCAAGATAGTTCGTTCTAGTTCTCTAGCAGTGGCTACTCACCCGTCGAACATGTCGGTGCCCACGTAGTGCGTGTAGTATAAAATGCTGACCGCGGTGATGCCAAACAGGGCCAGGATGCAGCGTCGCACGTTGATGCGGTTGCAACGGCGTGCAATTAAGTTACAACAATGGCAAAGCGAACTTGAAATGGCGGAGCTAGCACCACCGACACCACCACCACCACCACCGCCACCATTCATACTGCCAATGCTTGTTGATGAGGTAGAGCTAAAGTCATAGCTGAAGCCATTCGTTTTGGCCTTGTACGTGACAATGCCGCCGCCGGGCAGAAACTCGTTGGCCGTTGGCTCTGGCGGCAGGAGCATGCTTCGATCTGTGATGTGCTCGTGGCTGGGGTGCTGGTAGAGGTCAGATGGCGTGGCATGGCCATTGCCGAAATGCTTATTAAGATGGCCGCAATCGACGAATGCATCCGCGTCCGCATCCGTATCCGCGTCCCCATCCGCATCCACATCCGTTTGTGTGCCGGTCACGCTTGTCGTGCCCGACTGCATTTGCGGCTGTTTAATGAGTTTTTCATATTTCAGCGATTTGCCAGGCAGGCGATTTGCAATGTTGCTTGTCGTGTTTGTAGTTGTTGCTGTTGTTGCTGTTCGTGCTGCTGCTGCTGTTGCTGCTGATATTGTCATATTGTTGTTGGACTTCCGCTCGGTGGTGTTGACTGCAAGTTGTCTCTCCTCTCTCTCTCTCTCTCTCTGTCTGTCTCTCCCTCTCTATATTATATATATCTAAGATATATATGTATAGATTGCTCTTTAATTGGCAGCGTTGCTTTTGGGATATGTGTAATTCGTAAGCTGGATAATACGTTCTATAACTATTTATCTATATAAACTCGATGTGTTAACACTCGCGTTTTCTTTTCTTTATTTTTATTTTTATTTCTATGGCACTTGGCTAATTTCGTTTATTTTTACTGTTAAGTCGCTGGCTTCTCGAATTATTTATAAAATTCTGGAAATGTTCTCTTGATTTTTTCTTGAATTTTTCACTTTTCAATTCGCCATTTGATATGTTTCCAAATTTTTAAATATTCATTTTGTTTGGCCATTGTGGCTGCTGAGCTTCCTCTTGTGTTTGATGTTGTTGTTGTAGTTGTGGCCGTTGTTGTTGCTGCTGGCAGCGTTGACTGCCATTATCAGTCATATGTGAGACCCACTTTCAGTTGCTGCACTATCAGGCATTGACTGGGTCGTCTTATCTGTAAAAGTTAAATGGAAAACGCATTAAGTAAATAATTATTTCGTATAAATAGTAAACAAATAAAGCTAGTTTTTTATTCTATGAGGGCACTGCAACTATTTCAAGTTGTTTGCTTTGGACTCGACTTATCGAAAGCTACGGTAAAGGGAGTTTGAGAGAACTTGACAGCACAGAAGTTATCTATTTTCCATATGCGCATTATATATATACACATGCTTATGCAATCATAGTAGAGTTAAACGGGTGAGAGTGAGGCCAGAGAGATATATTGATATAAGTAAGTGAGAATGAAGAGGTTGTATTCATTGAGAGACACAATGAAAAAGAGAAACAATATGAGCACAGCTTTCAAATAAACATTGATCGTTTCTCAATGTCTGTCTTACTGATATTCTAAGAGAAAACCCAGAGAACAACCGATAGCTTCGGTTCTTCCACAAGTTCATTCGCGATGGCAGGATCTTCCCCGAGCGCTTGTATAAGTATTGGTATGTGTCATCTCTCACAAGAATCCAGCCCTAGTCTACCGAGACTTAATAAAAGCATTCAATAGCCAACCACTGAGAGCTCCTCCTGTTTAACTTTCCACATTAGTTCTCTGCCAAAACTAATTGATTACACGCACCGTTACCATGTTCTACCCACAAGTCTTAGCCAGCCCAAACGGCAACGGCAATACACAGCAGTCAGGCTATGCCATCTATTTAGTTGTTGACAGTTGTCAATTCATTTTGTTGCCGTCTCGAAATGTAATGTAAACAAAATGCTGATAAACCTGCAAATAAAGCGAAGCCGCAACAGTCTATATAGACACACATTACATCTGTGTGCGTGTGTGTGTGCGTGTGTGTAGACTTAGCCATTAACTGCATATGCGGCTTACTTTAATTGCAAATGGCTGTGGTTGCCAACCAAATAATGACAACATACTTTCCGGCGCTTTATGGCCCCAACCAAATGAGTCAATAATGAGGTTTTAGAAGAGCCAAAATATTTGCCAAGCGCTCGTTGTCGTTGGGGCTGTCGTTGTCTCTGCAAACAGTGAAAGGAAATGGGGAGAGAAACTGTAGCTTGACAAGGTATTTGCTGCTTTAGCTCTGACTAAATTCCAGTAAAATCCTGCCATTTGTTTACTATCATTGCAAATATATATGTATATGGGGTATATCTCTAATTCATTTAGTGCAGAGAGTCTAGGGTGAAATGTAGATCATTTCTGTTGCCATCCATTTCACTTATGTGGGCGAAAGTTTTGCAACAACAGCTGGCATCAGAAACCACTTCACGAATAGCCTTGCAATAATTCACAAAGAGCATTTTTCTTCTTGGCAACTTGGCCGCAACAGAATACAATGTAAGCAGCCGTAGTTAGAAAGAAAACAGGCAAAATTGTAACTGAAAGCTGTTAGACAGGCCAACAACAACAACAGCAATAACAACTGCAAAGTCTGGGCGCATTCTTGGCCTTGTTTTTTGCCTCTGTTACAAATTTATCATTAAAATGTCAGAACTTAAATTGATTCAAAAACTTTACTCTGGACAGGGAGAGAGAGAGAGAGGGTGTCAGAGAGGGAAAGAGAGAGAGAGAGAGAGCGCGACAGAGTGAGACAGACGACACCGCAACGTGCTTCAGCTGTGGGGCATGACAATGCTTTGCCTCCTTGAGCTGCTGCTGGTCCTGCGACTTCTGCGACTCCTGCTACTGCTTGCAGTGTCGTTTAGACAAAAGTTGTTGTTGTTGGTTTCTTTTCGTTTTTTTATTGTTGTTGTTTTGTTACCGCGTCTACTGTTTGTTTGCTGCATACTTTAAGGCGCGCAAAAACTTTGCTTTCTTCGTTAGGGAAACTTGTTTAATTTCCTTCTCAATTGTGACCACGTGACCCCCACAGCCTGGGCGCACTTTAACTAAACTTTTGCAACATTCGTTGTTCGTTTGCTCGTTTGTTTTAGTTGCTTGTTTGTTGCTGCTGATTTGCCTGTCGTACATCGCTGTCTATTCGTGTCGCTTATCTATATATATCTCATATATAAATGTTATACATTTATGTTTCAGTACATAAATTTATTTATACATGCCCATCTGCCGCAAGGTTGCCAGCAAACTAATGTGTGTGGCATGCACTTTTCAATTTACATCAAATATTTACGGACTGCCAGGCATCTCTCTATCTCCTTCTGCCTGTGTCTCTCTCTCTCTGTCTTTATCGCCCTCTGGCTCACTCTTTGCTCATCCATTTTCTGGCTAATAACACATGTCTCTTAAGTTTCATGTCGAGTTATTTCAGTTTGCCAGTTTTCAATTTGCTTGCAAAAACGAAAAACAAAAATTGTTGAATCTAAATTCATTTCTGGCATTCGGTGCTCGTGTTCCTACGTAGGTGCCCCCACGGGGGCCAGCAGCAAAAGGGCTGCGCACGGCCATTAAACAATTTGCTGAGCATGTTGAAAACTTAATGCCACAAACTTCGCGCCTGGTTCTAAAGACCAAAGACTCTCATCACAGCTTCACGGCTTCCAAAAATTTCATTTGTTTTCTTTTTCTTTTTTTTTTTTTGTTTCTTTCTGTCGGTTGTTGTTCTTGGCCTGCTTTCCACTGACACGCCCCCACAACGCACCCGTTTCTTTTAATGGTTTTGAAAACTATTTATTTTACGATACATTTTGTTTACATTGTTGAGCTCTGCTGGGGCATCGTTTACGGCAGACTTCACGAGCACCTACTACTACTGCTGCTGCTGTGCCTGCCCGCCAACGGAACACCCTCAACATTTCTCTAAATTGCATTGGGGCGTGTGGCAACAACAACAAACACAACGCAGCAGCTGAAGCTGGAGCCGACGCTGTAGCGCTAAAATTAAGTAGAAAACATTAACTACAAGACGCTGCAGCAGCAAATACTCTATCCAAATGATAAGTTAGAGTAACTTAAATAATGTGAAATAATTATATACATGTATATCTAGATTAATTGAGCTGCTGCTGCTGAGAAAGATTTCATTCTTTTTATAGCTACAGCTATCAAGGTTTAGGTGAAATAAATTTGTATTTATTTTTATCATAATTATTATTTATTTTATGCTGCATAAATCTATATATCTGCCTCATCTTAATGACCTACATAAAAAATGAAGTGTGCACAGCAAAGCCTTTGGAGAAATCGATTATGCTCCGTGTGGATAGAAGTGTAAAGACAACAATTGCTGCAATAACAACATCGAAGTGTGCCCCAGAGAGATGCCTAGTAACCTACACGCCCCCGTTGGCCCATGCTGTGGCCACCCTCAGCTTTTTTTTTTCTATTTTTATTTCGTTCAACTTTGCTGTTTTTGGCTGCCCATTTATCAGTCAACAATTGCTGTTGTTGTTGTTGTTGTTGACTGCTTTTGTTTGTCTGGCCCTTTTGCGTTTTTTGTTAGCTTTTCGCGCGTTCGCGGCTTCAAGTGCCCAACCCAGCACGCACACATGCACACACACACACACACACACACATCAGCATTCATATATATGTCCATGTATACATGCCAGTCAGCTGACAGCGCAGACATATTGATAATCGTTTTCAATTTGTGTTGATTTTGTTGCTTGCGGCAACAACAAAAAATGAAGTAAAGAAAAACGAAGCCAACAAAAAAGATATACAAAAGGGAAAACAATCAATTGTCTGTAGTAAATTGAATGCAACGCCTGAATTTGAGTGAGTTTTCCCGCCCCCACACCACCCCACCCCATCCCACCCACGCATGACTTGCACAAAACATCTAACTTAACCCACTGAGCAGCGCCTAGCTCCACTCCACTCACAGCCCGCGACTACTGACTCATTGGCCAGACATTTGTCTGGACTGCTGTCTGCCCATTTGAATGATGAATGCTGCTTGAGCATTCGAGTTCGAGTTCGAATTGGAGAGGGAATTTCTATGGAATCCGTATGTCTCCTCTCTGTTGCTGTTGCTGCTGCTGTTCCTATTGCTGTTGTGCGTTGGCGTTGCAGCAGCTCCCCACGTCGGCTCTATAAACAATTTGTGTGCATTTAATGAGTTTTCACACTTTAACGCCAGCAACTGCCCGGCCAAGCTTCTAATTCCCCTGGCTATGCTGGCTAATGCTTATTGCGTGTGTTTGTGTCTCACAGGTTTTATGTCGTCATAAATCAATGGGACTGACAGCAATAGTCTCGATTTATACTGTTTCAGCGTAGGCGGCGACCAGGTGATTGGATTTCCAATAATAAAGAAATGTAGCAAACTCTTCGATTTACTAAGAATTTTATAATTTGTTGGGAGTGTTTGACAAGTTGCATATGTAGAAAATAAGTTATTTATGCTAGAATTTTGTGGCTATATATAGGAAATTAAAGATCAAACGTTAAATAAATAAAATTTTAATTGTAAATTTTTTTTTCTATATTTTTTGTATATTTTTTCTTTGTTTTATTTTGTTTATTTTTTTCTATATTTTTATTTTTATTTAATTTTTTATTGTTATTTAATTTATTTTTTATTATCATTTATTTTGTTTTTATTTTTATTTTATTTTTAATTTTTTTTTTATTTAATTTATTTTTTTTATTTATTTTATTTTTTAAAATAAAATTTTAAAATATTTACACATACATATGTATATATCAGCTAATTTCATGTAATTCTAAATATAAAATATTTTTTGAAAATTTGTCTAAATTTATTTTATAAATTTATGAAATATTTATTAAGTTGTGCATAAAGTAAATTTGAACTCTTCAGCATCTCGTTATCTTAATAACCCGCCACATCTCATTTAAGGTCTCTTAAATATTTGATAGCATTATCATCTTACACTTGCTGCACTCTGGAACATAAACTAGCTCGTATAAAAGTTATTTAAAACTCAAATTTGAAACAATTACAAGCACATTAGAACATTTCTCTGGCAATTAGGCATTACGCATATCGTTGTAAAACATTTTTGGCTTCACTTGTGACAGTTCCCAGAGCGCATGCAGCATGCCATGGAATGTCG